AAAGTACCTATATAGGGACTACTTCACGGCCAAGGTATATACTATTTGGGTACATGGACCCTCAGGGGACATGGGGAGCTGTTGTTCCTCATGGCGAGGATCCCCACTCTGTTTTCAAAAATTACGGTTCGGCAAGCTCTCATAAAAATTCCGGGACTTTGACAAGAGTTTGAGGCTTGTAGCCGGGGCAAACGCATGTGGCTCAGACCCCACCATGTTGTAGTAGGCTGTAATGCTATAAGCCTGATGTTTACACACTGAAACTTCTAGGTACCGGAAAAGTTGCCCTGCCCGCACCCCGGCCGCCACAAACTCGCGTATGGTTGCCCAAAAGCCAGCATACACGAAACTCAAGCCTCATGGCAGGAACACATGAGGGTTTCTCAAAACAAGGGGTTTAGGGTTTAGGGTTTAGTGTTTAGGGTCCTTATAGTAAGGATCCTAGTATTTAGGGTACTATATTAGGGTCCCCTATTTTCGGAAACCCCCACATGACGCAATCATTCATGGACCGAATATACTGCAAGTTGCAGCCGACGCATGATCGAGCCTGCTTCTTGCCTGCGTTCTCCTTCTTGTCGTCGTTGAGATCACCCTGGCCACGCGCATGGAGTGTGAGACTGTCTCCTGAAACGTAAACCATAAACTCGAAATCCTAAACACTACACACCTATCCCTACGTACCCCTGAAAATCCTAAACCTTGGACTCCAACCACGAACCCCTAACTTCGCCTAATCCTATCCCTAAAAACCCGAAACCATCGACTCTGAACCATAACCCCCAAACCCTGTCCCCGAAAATATGGAACAGGTATGGGCTTAGGCTTGAGGGGAGCGCAGGCTTCGTCACGCCTCGCACGCCCTCATGATTCCGGACACAAGACGTAGGGTTTAGGGGTTTAGGGCTTAAGGAATTCGGGATAACAGGGTTTAGGGTTTAGAGTTTGGACATACAAACGTGCAGTGGCATGAGGTTGCTAAACGTGGAAACCAATCTCCGCGGCTTGATACCGCATACGCGAACCCTACACGGACCCTCAAAGACCGACCCTTTCAAGCACTGAGACTTGGGGGCTGAGTGATCCAGCCCAAAGAAGGTTAACCTTATGAGTTATAATAGGGTTATATAATATAAGCACCAAAAGGTGAAAGGTTACCTACTCAGCTCCTGGGTGTACATAAGGAAACCATTTTAGCAAAGATCGGTTTTGCATAGAGTTGAGGTTGACCCTGAACCTGAAAACCCGCTGTCCGATACTAATCCCCTGACGTTGAGTCTGGATGCCATAAGTATCCTTGCCCAGAAAACATATTTTTTTAATGACTGGCATAAACAAAATTATCTGACGTTGAGTCTGAATGCCATAAGTATCCTTGCCCAGAAAACATAATTTTTAAGGACTGGCATAAACAAACTCATCTTAAGATCCTTAAAACGGTAGGTTCTGTAGCGCCCAGGTACTCAGGGCATCCACAACGAGTAGAGCCGACATAGAACCCTTACCTTTATCGATCCCTCTAAACACTAAGCCCTACAGTCAAAAATCTATTCTTACACTTCTAATAAGCCAGGGAAGTACAAGCTAAAACTTTCAGACTACTTCAAAATTATAAGAACCCCAAAAATTTAAAGGTTGCAAACCCTTTACCCTAATCCCTAAACCCCTAAACCCTAAACCCTCAACCCCTAAACCCCTAAACCCTAAACCCCTAAACCCCTGTTTAGGCTCCTATATTGGACCGGCCTCAAGGTCGGCCTTGTCCTGCGCCTTGGAAGCCGCCAGGGCCATATCGGCCTGCTCGGGTTTAGGGCTTAGGGGTTTAGGAGTTAGGGTTTAAGGGTTTAGGGTTTAGGGTTTAGGATATAGGCTTTAGTAGGGTTTTAGGTTTATACGGTTTAGGATTCATTAGATTTAGGGTGTAGGGTTTAGGGGGATCGTTGATTTGTGTTGTTGTGTTCCGGTCGTGTTTGTTTGAAGGAGTTTGTCCTTTTGGTTTAGGGGGGTGGGGAGGTGGGGTTTAGTTTGATGCAAAACTAATGTGAGGGTTGTGGAGATTAGTTGGTCAGAGGGAGTTCAACTATGTACGATTTTAAACCGTCGTATTTCTTGAGGAAGGGTTGAAGGTTTTGGGTCTAAGAAATGGCGACCTAGATGTAGGGTTTGCGGGGTTGTAGAAGTGAACCTGTTAAGCTTCAGCAGTTGCGACGAACTTTGTCCATCCTCCACGCTCTCACCTACTTGCCTAGGATATGAAATGGCTACGACAGCCCAATCCGTTCTTCGACCGCGCAATCCACCCTGCCATCAGCTGGCAACCCGCTTCCTCCAGATCTCGCGCTGCGATGGACGTTAAGGACAAGACAAAGAGAGAGAGAGAGAGAGATGCATATATATATATATATATATGTACGGTATGTATATATAGATAGATAGATAGATAGATAGATAGATAGATAGATAGGACCGAGGGTGTAGGGTAGGGTTTAGAGTTTAGGGTTCAAGGAATTGGGCGTGTAGGGTCTTACTTTGAGACCTGCCTTAGAACAAGCTCACCGGGCCGGAATCCGAATCAAGCCCGTGGCTATCAAACTGAGCCTACAACTGCCAAGCACGACTATTGAGCCGCTCGTAAAATCAGAACCGAAATACTGGTATTGTACCACTGACAGCACTGGATAGTCACTGTCTGTCTAACACCACGGAACCCTATTCAAACCCTGGAAACCCCCTAGTTCTAAACCCCAGGAATCGCCCTACATGAGTCCCTCATCCCTCACCCTTACCTTAGCTGCCCAGTACCCTGGCCCAAAAAAGTTTAAACTTTTTTCTTTTAGTAGGGGGTTAATATACCAAAAAAGCTTAAACTTTTCTTTTAGTAGGGGTTTAATATACCAAAAAAGCTTAAACTTTTCTTTTAGTAGGGGTTTAATATACCAAAAAAGCTTAAAGTTTACCTATTGGGCTCCTAAGAATCCGTACGCTGAAACCCCAAGGCTTCTGACTCTCCCACGCAAGGTAAGCGCCTCGACCCCAAACGAGGAATGTCCAACTGCCTAACCCCACACCCCTAAACCCTGAACCTTAAAGAGCTATAGGAACCCTTATTTTAGGAAACCTTGAAAGGAGCCCTAAGCCCGAAACCCTAAACCCTAAACCCTAAATCCTTAGACGATCCTAGGTCCTAGGAGCCTTCAAAAGGATCCATTGAAAGGGACACAGTTAAAGGAACCCTTGTTATAGGAAACCTTGAAAGGATCCTTGCTAGGAGCCTATAAATCCTTCACAGGAAGTTCCGCCCCTGAACCCTAAACCCCTTAACCCCCTAAACCCTAAACCCTGAACCCCCTAACCCCGAACCCCTAAACCCCTAAACCCCTAAACCCTAAACCCTAAACCCTAAAACCCTAAACCCTGAAACCCTGAACCCTAAAACCCCTAAACCCCTAAACCCTAAACCCTAAAACCCATAAACCCCTAAGGCCCTAAACCCCTAAAGCCCCGAAAAAACCCTAAACCCTAAACCCTAAAACCCATAAACCCTAAA